GTCAGTAATGTAATGTTAACCAGGGCTAACTGTTAGTCTTACTTGCTAACAGCAAAAACAACATCAAAGAGACACAGTTCTCTTTTATCTTTGGCTAATCTCCACCCAGTTTGAGGCAGTTTTCCCCAAACTTTTTTTTTTATTGAGGCAGTTTTTCCCAAACTTTTTTTCCTGAGGACCTATATTTTTAAAAGTCACAAACCTTCACGACCAGAGTCAATAAACATTATTCATAAACTCCTGCGAAACAAAACACATTATTCATAAACTCCTGGGAAACAAAACAAAAAAATCTTACCACCTGTTGGTCGCGACCCAGTCTTTGGGAAACAATAGTTTAAGGTATAATTTAATGCAGAGCCCAGAGTTTTAAAGCAGCAGCTGTAACTTTAGATTTGTGACAGTGACAGTGACAGCCCTGGTCGTTACCTTAACGACGTCAGCTGACTGATTACCTGTATCACCAAACTACAAACATCAGATTTAGGCCTAAAACCCAACCATGTCTCCTTAAAGCCACAGTGTCTAATTTTCACTTCTCTGCTGAGCCCTGTCAGAGCTGTGTGATGTGTGGTTGTGTGCTTCGTTTATTTTGGAGTCACTCACCGTAGGATTCCTCAGTGTAAAGTCGTAGGTTAAGTGCATGATCAGTTTGAACAAAGGAAATCGAATCTGAGAATGAATCTGATTGTAGCAGTTGTGAGGTAATAAATGACTGCGTTCACTTCTGTTCGATGTCCCAAAAGCCTCGGAGGGGAAAGCAGGCGACTCATCTGATTCAAGTCAAAAAAAAAAATCACAACATCCAATTGTCCTGGTCCTGGTTGACCAGTCGTCCTTGACACCAGTTCATTGTTAACGCTCGTGTGATGAGTTTGAAATCTGTGTCCCAAATGCATTCCATCATTTGGGACGTACCGACTTTCCCAGCAAGGCTTTGGGGAGATCAGTGACATTCTTCAAAGTTTGACGCCCTTCAAATGAACCCCAAATTGTTATTATTTTTTTAGGACCCTGTGGTTTCTAAAATCTGGGACTGATGACACACAGACAGACCTCCAGCAGAAAGAACAGGGTCTGTGTCCTCTACTTCTCACCATCTATCACACTGTCATGCACTAAACCACTGTGTGTGTGTGCGTGAGTGTGTGTGTGTGTGTGTGCCTGACTGTTTGTGTGTCAAGCTGTATATTTAAACTTGTTTACTTTTTTGTTTATTCCATTTTTTTTCCACTTCTTTTCTCATGAGCCGAGGCAAACGTCTGTGTGTACGTGTGTGTGCGTGACCTTTTGTGTGTATGTGCGTGACCTTTTGTGGGTGTGTGCGTGATGGTGTGAGTCTGTGGACGTGCGTGTGCACTTCCTGTGTGTGTGTTAACTGCTTCCCCTCACACCTGCTCGTTGTCGTCGTCGTCATCGTTTCGTGGCCAACTTGAAGACGTTTCAGTGGCGCTCGCATCACGACCAACCACAGCTTCACAGCACATGGTCCGGGCGCAAATTACAGGGTGGGAGACAGACAGAGAGAGAGAGAGAGAGAGGCACATGAAAAGAAGACAAGGAAAAGAAAGTCGGGAGGGAGGGCAGGAACAGAGGGAGCAGAGAGAAAGAAAAAAGGTCGCCTTTCATCTGACAGATCTCGTGTTTCTTCCCTGAGGCTTTCCTCAGAAGAACGCAGAGAAAACCCCGTGTCTCCTGAGTCGCTGTAGAAGTCGTCACTTAGCCTTTAACTGTCGGCCAATGGCAGAAGAGGATTTGGTTTTAATATCAAAGTAAAAAGAAATGTCCGACACGTCGGCCGTTTTCAAACCCAGATCAAACCTTTGTGTCGTTGGTTTCAACAGAGACTTTAAAGACTGATAGTGCAGTCTTTGAAGACTGACAACTCCATTCTTACGTTAATGGTTGGTCAAACTGTGTCCCCAGAGTCCAAACACTTTTAAAGGAGTCCTAACTCAGTCTGATCCTGTCCCTCCACTGACACCAACCTTATGAGTGCAATGCTGCCACCTACTGTCACTAGAAATGCCTTCTAAAGTGTTTTTTTTTTCTTCTCATCTCTGTATAAAGAAGTTCTTCCTCTGGGTTCAAACGGTCTTGTCGTTTTGGCAGGTCCAACATTTATTTATCCCAAAGCAGTGATGTCACTGAAGGTCAGAAGGTAGATGTCAGAATGATGGATGGAAGAGCCATAGATCAGGAAGAAAAGTGCCTTCCAACTGTACGGCCACACACACACACACACACACACACACACCAAACACTCAAACAGTAGAAAGAGATTTGGTGGTGAATGATGAGCCGGCAGTGAAAGCATTAATATATCATTAGTATTGACACACACACACACATCCTGCCCCCCCCTCTCTCTCTCCCTCTCCCTCTCCCTCTCCCTGGCTCTCCCTCTCTCTCTCTCTCACTCATCAGTATTGACTTGTGGTAAAGAGTCCTATAGTGAACCAGCAGACTTCCATCTGTGTGTGGATCGATGCTGAACCTT